AATCTGTATCCAGTGCTAATCTGTATCACACACCGAAAATCTGTATAAATACGGGGAAATCTGTATATATGGCAACACTGTGTGAGTGGTAGGGCAGAGTATGAATACACACTTCCCGCGATCCTGCTACGGCAGTATTTAGAGAAGTATTGCCGGCAGCGCGAGGAGCAGTGGCAGGGGCTGAATGTAAATGAGGTTTTACGCATATACAATGAAAAGTGTATTTTGTGCAAATTGCGGCTCTGCTAATGGTTTTATGTTGTTGAAAGACGTTACTAAAATTGTTAAATGTAACACAATATTGTTTTTCAGTTTCTTAAAAATCACACCAAATGATAAAAACCATAATAGTGGTAGTTCTATTATAACCTCAAAATCGGATATTTTTTTTGAAATATATCTTTTCTGCAGCTAGTCCGCTATAAAAATAAGATCATATAGGAATTACATAATGACAGACAATACAACACATAATTTTCCGATGCTTTTGGTTCCAGGACGAACAATGTATGGGCGCTGAGCAATGTCCTTTAAAATGTGTTTGCATAAGTATCAAAAGTTGAAGTTCCCCACAAATCATGCACACTCGCTCTCTCTCTCTCTCTCTCTCTCTCTCACACACACACACACACCCACACACACACACACACACACACACACACACACACACACACACACACACACACACACACACACGCACGCACGCACGCACGCACTCACGCACGCAAGCACGCACGCACGCACGCATAATATTATATCACAATTACATTTCAGTGATATTTTTATCTCAATATTTTAAAATTTATCTATGTCAAATATAAAAAACATACTAAATGTATGTTTAACAAAACTTATTAATATAACATTTAAATAACAAATATATTTATTTAAATAAGAATAAGAGTTGTTCATAAGTGCTGGGAACGCAAGAGTTAAAAATGGACGAATTTATTCCACATTGACTTTGATGTGGAAACCCAAAAATAAAATAAAAGAATAATGAGCAGATTTAAATATAAAATTGAAAAAAATTTAGCTAAATTACGATAATTTATATTTGTTTATACTTAGAAAAATGTGTATAATAATATATTCGTCCTATACTTAAAAAAAATCTCTTGATAAAAATATGCCATCGTGTGTTCTTAAATATTGCACAAAAAATTTAAGAAATGTCAGTAAAAATCAAGGAATTACTTTTAATCGGTAAATAAGATACTTAATCAATAAGAAAGTATTATATGTTAATAATTAAACAAATTATTCCTAAGACCCCATCTCGTGTCATGGAATATAGATTATGAAATAAATTTGTTCAGATGCGAGACTTCTGAGGGTACTTAAATCAACACAAAACACGTGACAACTCTACAAGCGCCTAGCGAGTAGCGACCACAGAACACTATTAATCCTATTGGAGAAGAACGACAACTTCATACAAAATATAAGAAATGTGATATATATATACCCACTAGCTCCATCTATCGTCAGCCTACATGCACTTTTCTCGTGTGGCGGGAAAATTTGATCGTGGTCTTTTTTTATTAGAGGTATTTTTGGGTTGCGCTAAATAAAACAAAAATAACAAAATTTCTATTTATTTATTCAAAATAAAAATACAAATTAAAATTAAAAAACATACATAACTTAGACAAAATTTCTGTAGCAGCTTATATAGTACTTTCTTTTTCGGGTTCAACATTATCTGATATGCTTCGATATGTTTGTGGTTGTTCTTCAGAGGATATAATGTTGTCCTCTTAATGTTGTCCTTTTTGAAGATCCTACTTGTGGTTTTGCAGCAATAATTTGCGAAGGACCAGCTTGTGATTCCAAAAAATAAAATGGGAATACATTTTATCAGTCTGGAAATAAATAAAAACTGAAATAAATTCTAGTATAATAAACATATTAGAGCTTTGCTCGGTATTTTTCACTCGGTTTTTTTTTAATTCGTGTGTTTTGGAAATTATATTTAGATATAAATTACATACTGATGAAATATGAATAATATTTTTTTGATCTTAGCGACATAATAGAAAAAAACTGAACTGGTTATTTGAATAAAAAATCATGAGTGCAATTAGATTAATTTAAATTTTCGTGTTTCTAAAAAATTCTAAAAAAGGGCTCGACAAAATAGGTTTTCTCAAAAAAGAAAGGAACTTGAAAAAAACAATTAAAAAAAGTCGGTCGGTCTGGGCCCGAACCATGGTATTACGATTTTGTGACCGCCCAATATACCAATTAACCTATTTGTAATTATTAATAAACTGTCGTAATTTACCTTCTTATTCTAACGATATTGTAGCAATTTTTCATTGCCTAAAAACATGGACAAAAAGACATTTTCTAAAAATAAATCCTAGCTGGATCGATTTATTGCCCCCGAAACTCCCTGCACACAAAATTTTATGAAAACCGTTGGAGCCGTTTCCAAGATTCCGATTATATATATATATATATATATATATATATATATATATATATATATATATATATATATATATATATATATATATATATATATATACAATAATTGCTCGTTTAAAGGTATAGGATATAAAATTAAATTAACATTATATTCATTGACATTACTTTCATAGTACCTAGTCCCTACTCATGGCACTACATTACCCTTCTACCAATACAAAATAAATGAATGGATCTTGTTCATTCAACTTGCTCTATATAATACACCTACTACTACACCTAATATAACAAAATAAGATAGTAAGTACAATAACAATGTCAAGAAAAAAGAAGTTATTTGAGAGTGTTGTATAAGTTGCGCCTTTAAATTTGATAGGTTTAGGACAAAATTTAATTATTAATAGAATGTGATGCCTGAACTTTCTTAAGGATTTTTGTTGTTTTTAAAAATTATTTGATTGTTAAAAATAATATGCACAAGTGTTGCACTTTTATTAATGTAAATAAGGGCTTGTGTTAACTTTGTAGAATTCAATCCTTTGGATGCCTTGTCCTATACAATTATTATAAATTGGTTGAAGGCATTAACAGAATTCAAACTACTGTATATCTATATATATATGTACGTCCATCCATATTAGATCCAGATGATGGTCATCTTAATAATTATCATCATCTTTATTACAGTCTATCAAAGGCCACTCCTGAATATAGGAAACCCCATGTAAAATATCTGAGTAATCCTTTAATAATTATACATTAATTACCATATACATTATACATTTACTTACATCACATGGAACTGCAGTTCTTAAGAGCTTTTTCTTGGTTGCATCATTAAATTAACTATCATGAAAATGTTTTTCACACAGCATTCTGGGCTCATTATGTAGCTTTGTCTGGATAGCTTAAGTAGTATACTGCTCTTGGGAAGGAATATAGTATTTCGCCTACAATTTACAGCTGAAACCAAAAAATATAATTATTAAATAATATATTAATAATATTATCAAAGTGGTTTACAAACCAAGGATTTGTTTTTAAATGGTTAAAGAGAAACAATCTTTCATTATAAGTTGGACAAAAGTGAGGTTAAAACTTAATAAATAGTGTATATCGACGCTTCACAGCCAAAAAGGGATAACCGCCAATTTTTGCGAAATCAAAATATATATATGGCTAGAATCGTCTTTTTTTTCTGCGTCTTTTGGTCTAAGTCTCGTGGCTCTATTTACGTACGTACGGACGTACTTTTTTGTCGGTTAGGCAGTATATAAAATGAGGTCCTCAGCCTAATTTCTTTATCGTAAACGACACATATTTTGGTGATTTTTTTAATATTGACGGTTAGCTGAAAAATGGTATTTTGAAACTGAGACTTACGTTATTAAGGCTTTTTTTAAACATTTTTTTGTTTGGACGTTAACCGGTTTGGGCTAGAAATAATTTATGTATAAAGATACATTTATTACATTTTGCTTGGACATTTTATTTTCTAAAACTACGTTTACGACATTATGTCAGTTTGAAAAAATATTTTTGTGGTTTAAGATATTTAGGCCAATATTTCCTTGACTTCGTTTGTCGTTTACGGTTATTATTCCCGTTGCTGTACCCATTAACGGAGGAGCTTAATACAAATTGTCCTAAAACTCACAAAACTTAAATTGTCGTTTATTACTTTTTTACCTCCCAATATTCGAACGAGTGTGGTGGTTAGATAAGCAGATAAAACTAAAATTTATACTTACACTTATTCAATGTCGCGGCATTTGTCGTTTACCTAGTGCAACAAAATCTAAAAACGTCGCTTATTTCTTTCATTTGTTCGAAACAAAGAAGGTTACGGTCACACAGTGAACGTTTACTGATCAGTCGACTACGGCACAAACGGCACATGAGTCATTTTGGCACGCAGTTTCGAGCCTATTTCGACTATCCAGGTAAGCTATATTTTCTTAATGCTATATGCGTAGGTAACTATTAACTCCCTATGTCATGAATAACGTTAGTGTATGTATAAATTTTTTGATGTTTATACTTGTCATAACTTTACACAGCGATTATTAGTAAAAGATAAATAGTGTCATAGCAGTAATTTCGTGACCACTTACGTTATTAAGGCTTTTTTTAAACATTTTTTGTTTGGACGTTAACCGTTTGGGCTAGAAATAATTTATGTATAAAGATACATTTATTATCATAGTCAAGTTGTACAGACACCTCACCTTAAGGTGAGGTGTCTGTACAACTTGACAATGATTTATTATTAATATTTCAGGATACCATTATGGCTCAAAACCAACGTGCATCTAATATTATCCACAATTCCAACATAAGCTTCCGCACTCAAAGAAAACTTAATTTTCATAACCCAGAACCACCAGCTGATGAGGTAAGAATGATTGTAACTGGCCACTATCATGAGAAATAAGGGGTATCTTATGTGTTTCTACAAATAATTATTTATATTAAACCGTTTTTTTTTAATTTCTTTTTAGGAAATTAATCTATGGAATAAAAAAATCACCATGCTCTGCCTAGTGAAACAGTCTACACAAGACTGAATGTACACAAAGAGAATTAAATTTGTGAACATCAAGACATTGCTAAAAAAGGTATTGTTAGTAAATCAAAATAAAGAAGCAGAGCCCCCACCTCCAGTTGTAACCGAAATGACAAATGTAGAGCCAAATGATTACGTTTTCGATAAGAAAAATGATAGCTATACTTTGTTCAACAACGACAAAGTTACTTGTCCAGAGCAGTCTGGTAGTCAATTAACAACCGAGGATGAAGACACACCAGCACAAACACCATATACTGCAGAAATTGAGATTACGTCATTACTTAAAACTCCGATTTATTGTGACGTGATATAACTTTTGCCTTCTACCATCTACAGTGCAGTATTGCAGTCACAACTTATGTCACAATTAAAACAAAAATGTTAACCCATCAAGCTTAAAGAACAAACGTAATGCGACACAACACAAAAAAAAACTTTGATTATTTATCAGATTATGAAGATTTTACAGCAAATTTTGGAGATATTATTGCTTGCGGTACGTACACACCTTCTACAGATTCGTCAGACTCTGATGAGAAAATAAATAATGCTAGTTAAAAAAAACGAATGATGTCCAACAAAAGTAAAGAAAACATAAAAGAGCCAATGGATCAAATCGAACTTAATGTATTCGAAGAAAATGCAATGAAAAGGCAGCAAAAGAACGAAGTATTCTAAAACAATCTGGTCAAGCATACACTACGCAAGATGGGACTGAAAAATTCCTGCTAAAGATATTAAACCTAACCCATGCAAAGAAAAAAATATGGCAATTATTGTGATTCTATCAAAAATGAGAAATAAAAAATATTTTTGACTATTTTTGAAGTCTATCATCGACATGATGCAAAGATTGGCTGGTATTTATGATATAGAAAACAGCTATAAAAAGAAAGAGAAAAAAATAATCTGAGAAACGATCCTACACTTACAAATATTTTGTAACCGAAGGTGAGGGAAGATGTAGAGTTTGTCTTCAATTTTGAACAGCTACTTTGGATGTTGGTTTAAAATTAATTTAATATTCCTTACAATAGCGTTTTGTATAAATTTATATATTGGATTATTATATTGGACGATGGTTGCTGAAATGAACCCAAAGTAGATTTTTTCTTTTTTTGTAACGTCTTATATTATTATGTACTTAAGTACGAGAATGATCAACCTTAATCTCTTAGCTTATAATGATTGAATGTGCAATAGTTTAATTGTTAAATTTACCAGGTTGTAGCAATGTTTCAATTTCTTTAGGAAAACTTTTATATTTTACTTTTAAGTAATTTGAATAAATGTGATTAAAAGAGCCGAGAATTTGTGTTATTATAATTCCAAATAAAGACTAATTTACCTAATTTTTTAATCCGACGTCTCCGAGATGACCTTTTTTAGTGCTATTCAAACTATGAACCACAGAACGTTATTTCGTAGTTTTCGTAAATGCTGAATATTTCTTAAAAAAATTGTTAACTTATCACAATTTTCTTGTTCATCTGTCATTAACTAATAACCGGTTATATCATATTGCCCCCTTTACATGTACGAAAAAAGTACAGTTATGTTATTTTTCTTCAATTTAAATAAAATGAAAGGTGCAGTTAAGTGATTTAGGCTGGAAGCGAATTAATTAGTGACTTTCATTTATGACCTCTTTCCTGCTTGTAAAAATAGGACCTTTTGGGGATAACCGACAGTAAACAGTATTAGAAGGCTGATTTATGTTAAGATAATGATTCCATTTTGTAAAGAAATAATTAAAACCTATATGTCTAAATTTTCAAGTGTTCGGAAGTTATAGAAGAATTTTTATGAATTTTTTTCGTTTATTCTGAACTTTAAACCACTCTCCTGTAAAGTTTGTAAAATGTCGCTTATCCTTTTTTGGCTGTGAAGCATCGATATGTATATTGTATACGTACCGCAAAATATACTTTACTGCAGGTTTTGGAAACCTAAATAATTTAATGTTGTCAACGGTTCATGAGCTGTTACAGTAAGAACACTTTCTCTATTTTCTTTATCCGCCATTGCAGCGTAGTTTTAAGAGTCACTTTTTCGTTTTTCACTACGAATCACTGACTAACACATTGCACATCATATAAACAAAGAAATTAATCTCAATTCTTAACTTGACGTCGTCAACTTGCAAAACCTTAGAAAAAGACGCAAGCAAAACCAACACAACAATCAATCATGAACAACAATAATTTATACGTCGATGCCATAGCCATATCACTGAGAATTATTTATAGATGTTTTGATGCTACCAGAAAAAAATATAATTTTCTACTCATTGAAAATCAAAACAAAAAGAAAAAAAATATTTTTCTTTTACTGTCAATGATATGCTAATATAATAACGTAGAAAAATGTGACAGGGATATTTATCTTCCTATGGATTATTATTTCTATATTCAAAATTTCAGAGTGTAATTTATCTTTAGCAAAATCTTACTAATTATGAAAATAGACAGATGTTATAATTTTTACTAAAGTATTAATACCCGTACCTACAAGATTTTTTTTGTTAAGATGTCATAATAAGATACAGGTTTTTCCTAAGTGACAGACTCAAGGAAGATCTAATTTCCGCTGTCACCTCTAAAGCTTGCAGCTTGACATACTTCTTGTTGCTAAGTGATGCAATTATAATTATTTACTTATTTTATTTATGCAGAATTTTTTTCTTTGATATAAATTCAAGTTACACTTTTGAACGTGGCGACCGATAAGAAGACAAATTTTTTACTTTTATTGAAAAAATGAGAAGTTAAATACGTCTATTCGCATGCACACAAACACCGTGCGAAAGTCTGCCGAACTGAAACGACGTTAGACTTAGACGATGCACGCTTTCAACGACGCACCGCTGTGCCGGTCGGAGTGGGGGCGTTAGGTTTATTTTCGTTACGGAATTTCTTGATTCGGTCACCGCGCTCAAAGCCCGCGATAAAAGCTATGCAATAGCATAATAATCTTTAAAATCCGGACTCAATTGGCGAAGATATCGCATAAACGTTATCGCATAAAAAATTAGGTTAAAGCGGGCTACATACGACACGATATCGGTGGCGATCTAGGGTGGAGTAGTGGGGATGCCTCCTAGATTGCCTCTAAATCGTGTCGTATGTAGAGCCATCCTAAGTCGTAGCCGATATCGCCTCCTTAATCGGCTGGCAGGAGCAAAAATGCTTCCTAGATCAGCCGATGCTTCCTAGATCGGGGCACCGCCCCCTCCTTACTGCGTGTGTGTAGGCGCATCGGCCCGATTTCTTTTGGCAGTCGCTGCCGGCAACCCTCGCGGAAGGAAGTTAACAAAACAGTGATACTGAATGACCTTTTTTTATGTAACAAAATTTTTACATTTTAATCATATAAACGGAGCAGAAGCCTATGGCACTGATATTTTACAAAAAACCAAAAAAAAAGTGAATAAAATAAATAAATTAAATGAAATTTTATCGAAATTCAAATCATATCCACCCTAGCCTGTGACCCTGCGAAGTGACATGGTCAAGAATGCCTACTAAACTAATTTTTTATTGCCGTTCGTAAAGTAGAGTGTATGATGTAAGTAAGGAGAAGATAAAGCCTCTCCTCAACAACTAACTCCTATTCCAACACTATCAACACAAGACCGCATTCATATCTCTTACAACTCCACAAGACCAAAATTCGATCTCTTACGTGCCTTCATCCTCTTATAAACAACTAACTTCTACTCCTTCACCATCTCCACATCAACAAACAAGTTATATAAAAGGGAGTATGTCCGAAATTAAAGGTTTCTTTATGTTTAAAAAAAGATATAAGCTATTTTATTTTCTGATAGTTCTACTCCATAAATAAAGATTACATTAAAAAAAGTATACATATTATTATACAAAAGTATTTTATTTCCTTGTTTGTTGTGTGTAATACATAACCAGATTTTGACCAAAGCAGAAATGAACAAAGAGAAGAAATAACTAAATAGCATAGGTACATAGGAGAAATTGATGTTTTTATATAAGTGGAGAAATCATTTCTAGAAGGTTATAAAAACTGTCTTCATCCATCCGGAGAAAATTAATCATGTCTTTGGAATACAGATCATTTAGTACGTTTATGTGGCTTAATTTTTGTCTCTTTTGGAGCCATTTTTTCACCCAGCAACTCCTCTTTTTCTATTTTCGAATAAATTTACCGAGAGGGCTAATGCCAAACCAATACATTGGTGTTTTAAGAGAGTTGAAGCTATTTTGAAGAACTCTACCGCATATGTGTACCGCTCCAAGTCCGAACGCGTACTGCTAGGCAGGCCCGTGTGTAGGGTCTGCCCCGATAAAAGCCCCGATTTCTTTCCACCCTAGATCGCCACCGATATCGTCTCGTGTGTAGCCCGTTTAATAGAGCCACCCTGCAGCTATAGCATGAATGGGTATGGTAGCAGTTGTAGCATGAATGGGTTGGCTTGACCGGGGCAGGACCACACTCTCACAGAATACTAGCGTAAAATAGCAGCGCAATGCTGCTGTGTTTCGTATGGTGAGTGTAGAGAACTGGAGACCCTTTTTACAGTCAATACATTCTATCTTAGTCCTCAGGGGTGACAACGCATTTGTATTTTGATTCTTGATTGAAGATAAATGTGGATGTCTAATGGGTCACAGCATCCACTTACCATCAAGTGGACTGTGTGCTCGTTTGTCACCCAATGTAGAAAATAAAGTAAAATACACACAAAAAAGACTTACAATCAAATTCTGAATCTCCCCTTTTTTAGATGTCAGCTAAAAATTACATTCACATAATACTACTCATAAAAAAGCTAAAGTTGCCTTTAGGGCAAGGAAGTGTCCGTGCTACCCTACTGCGTGCGAATATCACATGTCCTTGAAATTTTTTTTTCTTATTTCTCAGACATACAGAATTTCTCTCGATGTCTTCATCGGTGCCGGCGAGGCTTGAACCTGGGATACTCGCATACTGTGTAGTTTACAGCGATCGCTAACTATCTGAGCTACCACGGCTCACGGAAGGAAAACACTTCACTCATTTTAAGAGTCTAATTGAGTTTGAGAGATCCTATTAGAGGATCGAGTTATTTGGAAATATTGGCTAAAAAGGCTGGTATTCACATAGGGCGTACGTGGTTTGTTTGCTTCCAAATTATGATTTAGTTATTTAGTAATACATGCATATTCGTGTCCGTCATATTATTCCTTGTAGAAACGCCGTTTGCTATCCTACAGACCCTGAGGTAAGATGTAGCGACATCTACATCTATCCTCAATTACGAATCAAAATGCAGATGCGTTATCACCCCTGGGGACT